ACAGGCCCTTCTTTCCCAAATATACTTCCTACTTCTACCGCTATTACCTGCCACGTGAGCAGCTTCTCAAATGAGACACACATGAACCAGTGTTTGTTATACTGCCTTTAAGATGGTGGCCAGATATAAAATCCTATACAAAGGACAAGTATCTGTGTATTAATTCCTGTAATTAATCATTTTTTTTGGTTTGACTAAGGTTTCCACTCTGTATTTTCAAGGAAAGGGATCACCAATTCCCTTTATGTGCATTTGCACACACACATATACCTGTCTCACTACAAACACCCCCCAATATTGATCACATCTGCCTCACTTTCCCCGATAAGAAATATGAGATTCACTTTTGTTGGCTCAATTAATCTGGCAGCTGTCCTCTGCACCCTATAAATCATTGCACATGCAAAGAAGGGCTCATGCTTTAGCAGCAGTATTGATCCACACAGACCTTTGGGTTAGGAGTAAAGCCTCTTTAATTACTTTGGCTGAATTTCAGGGGTTTGGGTTGTTTTTTGTTTTGTTTTGGTTTGGTTTTTTTTTTTTTTTTTTTTTACAATGTCTTGGGAAGACTAGTACCACGTTTCAGCATTGTTATCACTTAGCTTAAATTTGGAGTTTTAGCCCCTAGAGAAACACCTTCTACCTCAGCCTGGCCTGCCCATGCTTGGCATCAAAATCAGAAAAAGTCATTCTTTTACCTTCTCTAAGGATTTGATAACCTCTACACTTTCCTTAGCCAGAGGTGTTTTGACCTTTAATTAAAAGGAAAATTTGTTGTCTCTCATTCAGAAGGCAGCAAATAATGAACTCATTAAAATGAGGTTAGTGTTCAGGCCTTAGAGCAATAAGAGCTGAAGTCTCATTAGCAGCTAACAATCCAGAACATAGCACATAAATAAACCTAATATGGCAGAGCAAAATGCCTTGGTGCATTAAATTTGAGCAGAATCAAATGTTTACAGTCAATGATGTCTGGGGCATGAAGTTTTAATGTACTTAATAAAGGAAAGCAAATTGCTTCCTATTAGGCATGAAATGTTACTGCAGAAATTGCCCCAAAAAGTTTATTATGTAAATGAAGGATAGATTTATAATTAACAAGGACATTGTAGGAAAATATCACTTCTTCTTAATAGATGCACCAATTATGAAGAATAAAGACACAGCAACTTCAAATCTACAGAAGGTAATTATATGGATTAATGTAAAAGACTGCTGAATGTAAATACAATATAAAGAAGAGCCTGTATCTTGTGGATGTCACAGAGGGAAGCCTCATTGACAAAGCAAATAATCAATTAATAAAATGAAACCCACGACTTTTGAGAGATTCCAGACAGTTAAGGTTTTGAGTTTGAAAGCTTGGGTTACCTTAAAAAAACCTCTGTTTGCTTAGCCTGGCACCGAGACATGCCTGTTTGTCCATGTGCAGCTGTGCTCCATGGTTCTTTCCTTGGAGAATGATAATTACTTGGCATGATCTATTTAACTGTCCAAAAATAAAGCAACAGTGAGTTCCAGCTGTTGCTTTAACACACCCTTATGAGTTCAAGGGGGAATGCTAATTCTATTTTCACATGCAAGTAGCTTTCCTCCACTTACAGTTCTTTTAAGCCGCAGTACTCAGAGAAAAAAAAAAAAAGTAATCCCACTGACTCTGAGGAGGAGACACACACTGGCAGATAGAATTTAAATACTGTGGTGGTCAGGTGAAACATCCAGGAGAAAAATCTTCTCTACAAAATAAGGTTTGTCATGCTTTTTTTTTTTTTTTTTTTTTTTTTTTTTTAAATCCATGTTCCTCTGTGTAAATTTCCCTTCTGCTGAAGCTGTGGGCAGCGTCTACCGTTTCTGCCTCAGGGAAGGCCAGCATGGAGCGGAGATGGGGTCGGGACAGGGACGGGGGAGCCCCCAGGGAAGGAGGGCTGCCAGGGGGAGCTGGGGACAGCACAGTGTGAAGAGCTGTGTTTGCACCTGGATTTCCCGCCGTCCAAATACATCAGCCTCTCTCCTTCCCGCAACCCCCTTCGCAACCAGATAACCACCCTCGGCCTAGCGCGAAGGCTGCGCAAGTCCCGGAAAGGTTTCTGTCACGGGAGGCCGGGGCTGGGCGGCCCCGCCACCCTGCGCCACGCAGGAGTGGGAGCACTGCCCCAGCAGCCGTGGGTGCTCACGGACAGGCGCACCAAGAGGGGCTTCACCCTCCCGGGAGAGCACCAAGACAGGGATGGGAGGAAGATGTCTGCACCCCTCCCGCCACGGCCCTTCTCTGTGCTGCATGCCATTAAGGTCTGTGCCTACAGGAGACAGAAGTTCTTCTTATTTACTGTGCAAAATTACCTGTGAAGGCAGTAGGAGTCATTAGCAATTTTTTTGGAATATATACGTATTAAAAATAAGACGGACAGACCCTAATCACCTAAACAGAGATCGGGGCGTTTTTATATTAAGGATGTGGAAGACGTTAACCTCCCCTCTATGAACAGACAACTAAATTTTGGGCTGACTTAGCCGACAACATCTTCTTAGTATTAAAATTGGGTGAGGTCATGAAAAGGAAGTTTAGCTGCATATTCTATGAATTAATATGCATATATGGAAATTGCAATAAAAAAGTCCTTAGGACCAAGCCAAATCCAGTTTGAGTGACAGATTTGCCCTTTAGACAGAGAAAAATGCTTGACACACTGCAGGTTACAGGATTTATATCTTAATCCTAGCTCAGTTTTTAATGAGACCTTACTGGACTGGAAGGCTTCTGCCTATCCTGCACTTCTGTCATCTTATTGAGACGTGAGTATGAGGGAAATCAGAGAGAAAAATTGAAGTGATATAATGATGTTTGTTTCATGTACCTTCTTATACTATATGTTAAGTGATGATAATTTCTCAAGATGTTCTTTCCTCAAAGGAAAATTGAATTGATTTTGCTCAGCCCATCAGTCTTTCTCAACATATATAAAATGCTCTAGATAGCTTAGAAAATCATGTTCTAAAATATAATGACTCAGATCCTATGCTTGTGACTTCAATGGTTTCAATTTAGTGCCAGGTTTTACCAACTGAGGATTTTCCTCAATGCCGTAGCTAACAGTGGCATTGATCTCTAAGGTTTTACATTTTAGTGAACATTTAGTTGTTATATATTATCTAAATATAGTCCCACATGTGAAATTGTCACAGGATTGAAATAATCAATTTATTAAATGTCTGGCAAGATAGGCTGGAAACCATACTGCTGTCTTAATATTTAATGCTAAAGCACAAGATTTACTGTCATTAGATTACTTTATTTCCTTTAGCAAGGAAAGGAACTTGCTTGGTGACTGTTGCAGCCGATAATCACTACCTTTGTTTTACACCTTCCTTAACACCCAATGAACATTTCTATTTAAAAAATGAAGGCAGATGCACACTGTCTGACAGCCTCTTGTATTACACTCCTGAGCTGCCTGGTACCCGAATGATGCCTCTTTAGAAGGGGGCTGTTAGCAAATGATGCTTCAGAAGAGGCTTGTGCTCCAATATGCACGGTGCCCAAATATCTGCGTAATTAGGAGGGAGTCGGTAACTTGAAGGAGGTGATGTCCTACAGCAAATGCTGACAGTGCCTCCCAACCCTTTGCAGTGCAAAGAAATATGATAAATCATGAGACCACAGAAACCTGCTCTGTTTAGTTCGGCTCTGCTCTGGACTAGGACTGCACGAGCCATCAGTATCCACCTCAGCTGCTTAAACCCTGGTATCAACATTTACGCTGGACTGGCATTACTTTTGGTTTACGGTCACAAGAAGAGTTTTTTGTTGTTGTTGATGTTGTTTTTTAAATTAGACCAGTGGGTTGAGCAAAAAGCTAAAGCTATTTTCCGGTAATGTTAAGTGAAATTACTAATGACCATACAAAATGCAATTTTTTCAAATGAAAGGAAACATTAGCTGGACTCGGACTGTGTGTAAACCACTGCATTCATTTTGTCTTTGAACTGCGCAAGAACATGAACATTCAATCAATAGAAATGTTATTAATAGATAATGGGAAAAGTTCTCAAGAGCCACATAATGGAGACATGGAAAATTGATGAAAATAGAGCTTATAACCCATTCACCATTGGCAAGACCAATAGGGAGATAAATGCACTATCCATCTCACATATGTAGCACGTCCAAATTATGTGGGCTGGTGATTGAAAGCAGACAGATATCTGTGCAGCAAGGACTATCTTTAGAAGCAGTGCAGAGTTGACAACTAACAGTAAATGTAGATAGCTCATGCAGGTTGAACCATCTTTTGTCTTTCTCTAGTGGTTGGAAATATGTCCAAGAAAAAACAGATAGGTGACCAAGACTACATCTATTTCTTCTATAAGCAATACCTTTTTCCTCCATTCCATTTAGATTGCTCTTATCTTTTGCTTGGAGGACAGAATAAGAATAAACAGGGATTTAATTTCTGACTTGGACACTACTTCTACCATAGATCAAAACTGGAGTTTTGATGATTCACATTTAAGCCTGAATTCGGTATTTAGACACAATCAAAAATGTTTCTGCAGGTAAGTAAATCCCAACGCCTCCACATCTGGATGGCAAACACTATTCCTAATATTACATTGGGGTTTAAGCACATTCTATCAAGTTTTGTTAATAACCTAAAACATGGGTGACAGTGATTTAGCATATTGTTGCCTCTGAATGGCTGGATTCAAGTCCTGTCATAGATCACTGCAAACTGTATAGTATCTCGGTCTGAGTTACAGAACCATCACCTACTTTGGTACTTAGGTACTTCACTATCACTCCTAGGCCACTGAACTCTGATGGAACAAAATAAGCTCACTGAATAGTCTTATAAAAAAGAATGACCCCAAAATAAAATGTGAAACATTTTAAAATATCTTCTTTTTTGTATCTCCTCAGTTGGACACAACTTTTAAAATGAGGCATTCCAAAAATTAGTATTATTTTTTCTAAATACATGTTAATTTCTTATTTATTTCAGGCTTTACTAGAGACTCAAAATTTACTGCGCACTCAGGTTGCAAATTTTACCTTCAACCTTGGATTTTCAGGAAAATTTTACCACACAGGTAAGAAGGAACTTCATGATCTCAGGTAGCTGCACTTAAATAGGTGACAGGATTTTAAACCTAGCTTTAAACATGCCCTTTTTAAATAACATGTTGGATCAGTGGAGCAGTGGGAAATACACGCTCCACCGTTTTAGCATCCAGTGTCTAATTCAGTGTCCAAAGGGGCAAAGCTACGCTACAGATGAGCTTCTCAGGGACACATAGATGCCCTTGGTGCTTCTCTGAAAGGTCTGTGATAGTGAATCTTAGTGTTATAAAGGAGGAAAAGCAACTGTTAAAATCTCTACAATTCCACAAAAGACATACTAAGGTTTTTCAAGTATAACAGATATGATGAAATATAAAAGAGTGGAAAAATCATGTCTTGTAAACTCTGAAGAGGCAGAAGCGTTTGATTGAGATGCACAAGATTTTCTTAGGACTGTAAAGGTAATCTCAGTGGTCTGAAAATCAGGAGAGATGATAAAAGGAAAAACAAGATGAAAAGAAATTTGTATTGAAACCATGTTCCTTTCACATTCTATGCAGTAACAAGTTGCACGCTTGCAGTGTTTCTGTGGAAGATTAGGCGCTTTTACATCTCCTCCTCCTCCTCCTCACAACTCCTTTCTTTCTTTTGCTCTATTTCTCCACAGCATAATGCCCTTCTTTTTTTTTTTTTTTTTTTTTTTTTTTAATTTTATTTTATTTCCTCCTCCTTTGCCTTCTCCTTAACACTTTGCTGCACCTCCACCCAGGCTTCCCTCTGTTGCCACTGAGCCATGCTGCTCCCTAGTACTGCTAAGGCAAAAAAAAAGACGTATTCAGCAACTCACTTCAGAGGAGACACCTCCTGTCCTTCTCCTTTCCAAACCCCATACCCTTCCCACCTTTGAAGACCAGCTCCAAAATCCTCAGCTGTCAACCCATTCAGCCACATCTAGTGACACTCACTGCGTGATGATAGGGAAAGATGAGAAGCTTATCTGGAGCGGAGGAGGAGGCATTGCAGCAGCAAGGGGGTAAGTTTTAAAGCTGGGAACAACACAGTCCCAGCCATCGCAGGACATGAGGTAGCCGTGGAGTAAGGCAGGTCACCCCTCTCAGTGTAGGCGAAGCAGTGCTCCCCTTTCCATTGCTGGTATTCAAACACCAAACAGATGAGCTTACCCGGCTCTTACGTCTCCGTTTCACCACCCATTCATTAGGAGAATACAGAGGTCCCTGGGAGAAGGGGAGATGAGGAAGCATTTGAGGGATGAGTAGAGAGAAGGGAACCAAAATTATATATTTGTATCACTGTCACCTTCGAAGTCCAGGCTGTTTTCCCCTTGTGTAAGCACATAATGCTAAGCAACTGCTGCCCAGGAAACCTTACAGACTAAATATATAGGCTGGAGAGCCTGAGAAAAATGAGAGGTAGAGAGAGATGGAATTACTTGCCTGGAGTCATATAACAAGCCAGTGGCAGACCTGTGATTAGAGAGCAACTTCGGAGACAGAACTTCAGTATTCTCCTCACTTCATCTCGACCTGCCTGTGTCGTTATTCCTTCTGGAGATTAATTGGACACACAGGTAATACAGCAAAATAAAGAAAAATTGCCCAAGGCTCTGAGCAGCTCTAAAGTAGGATGCTGCTTGGTTGTGGCCATCTACAGAGTAAAGCTGGTATCAGTCATTAAAGTGTCCACTGCAGAGAAAGGCAATTCAAGGAGGGAAGGAAGTGAAGAAAGACATAATTTATTATAAATACCATGACATACCGAACAGTGGCTGGCACAAAACATGCAGCCTTTCTACAAAACCAAATCCCTGACCTGCCAATCATTTTTTTTTCTTCGTTCGTCCCAACAACCTCCATTGTTGTCATGGGTTTTCTTGCCCAGCTGATATAATGCTGACCAATTTAAGATGTGCTATTGCTGCAGAGAGAGAAAATCGGAGAATGTGCACATGTGCCTGTCCTTCTAAGGCTCTCAAGGCTCACAAAAATAGCATAGAACTACTTAATGAGTTGAAGGATGTCATTGCCTCCATTAAGGGACCTGCTGCTACTTGTACCCAGTGATGCATCTGAGTTTTTAAGTGAACGTTTCATTTACAGGTTGGTGGTGATGTTTTGTCATAGCTTAGTGGAAAGATTTCAAAGTATTCTCCATGCAATATACACGTTATTGACTCCTTATAAATAAACCATGGAAATATATTCTTTAATGACTGTAAATGTGGCTTGTTTACCCGGAGGGGTTTTTACTATCAGAGACTCAACATGGCTTTTTGAAGCACTGCAAGTGCTGTGCCTTATTGACTTCCTTAATGTGTGATTTTGCTCTCCTTTCCAAAACTTGTATCGTTTTAAAAGTACAAGAGGGAGATGAGTGTGGCAATGTGTTGGCAAATTAAACAGTTACAAATTTTCATCAAAAGATGTTGCTGACATCTGTACTACCATTACCAACTCTAGCTGGCATGCCTGCTCACAAGTACAGTAGCTGACACAGCCTCACTGCTCATCATCTCACCACCTCCACCACCTTCCCTTCTGTGACACTGGTAAGGTAAACTATGTACTGTAGACATAACACTATTAGCAAAAAACTGAATACACCGTATTAGTTATGCAGTTGTAGCAAACACTTCTACTTGTTCATGCTGTGGCAATAGAAAGTAAGATGTTCTCAGGATTTGCATTTAAGATTTATAAGATTATTGACAGCAACTTCAAACTTTGTTTCAGTTTTAGGCTCAAAAGAGGCCTCTAAAATGCGGTTGTAGCTTTAAACTATGGAATTATTTATTATGCGCAAAGAAACTTTGAATTATTTCCTACCTGTGTAAAGTTCATACTGCATCCTAAATCAGATATATGTTCACGTCCTTGATTGTAGGTGTACTGCATTTTTCATATTTCACATTAAAATGAAGATAGAAAGTTGCATAAATAGTGTTGATTGTACAAGAAATTAAAACCTCAAAATCCCTTGTTTTGCCTCCAATACTCCAAATAAGGGATTGGGCAAAAATATTTAAAGTATATAAGCACTCATCAAGTGCTCCATTAAACCTTTGCATAAGATTTTTTTGAAATAATGTTTCTTTAGAAGATATAATATCAAACAACACTCTTTGTAAAGGCTTGTAAAGAATATTATCGTCAAAAACACCACCACTACCAAATGCTAAACTTCCAACCTTTCCATTTCAGCTCTGCCACTACAGGGTGAGGTTGTTTCAGTTTACACTGGAAAATGTTATGCTTTATTTTGTTTGATTTTTTGTTAGAGAAAAAAAAAAAAAAAGTGTAAAGCTTGATTAGTTGTATCTAAATTTACAAATAAATTGGTAGGAAAAAATAGGACTTGTTTGGATAAAAAATCATAGGATTTTAAAATAGAGTTTGCAATAATGACTTTTCTAGAACCATACTCGATTTCAAATGTTAATAAGGCACTAAATTATACTTTGACCTAAATCTTTTGTCAAATTATTGTAACACTTTAGATATGTCAAATATCCACATTTTCCTCTTCAATGCTACCTTCAGTTTTCTATCTTTGGGTTGCCAAAGAGATCTTCAATGGCTTCACAAATTCCTATCCCTTTCTCTTCTGTCCTATTTTGAAAGCCTGTGTTAAGTTTCCTCCCCCAATCACATTTCCCTTCCATGTGCCTGGGTGGCTGCAAGTGAACCACATCCCCCAAAAAACAAGAGCGCAGTCATTCAATGGATGCAGTATACAGAAGTTTTGCACAAAGGAGCAGATATTCACAGAGGAAGCAGCTATCGGTTCTTTTTTTTTCAATAAGGAATTACCTAGGAAACAAGGTTGTTTTCTTTTTCCAGCAGCACTCCCATCAGCGGGAGCAACTTTCTTAGAACTTGCAGAGCGCTGCAAAGAGGGGAGTGAATTGATCCAGTGACATGAAGAGAACGTTTCAAAGCAATGCTCTCCTTGTGTAGCAGTGTTCTTCAAAAACCACTGCAGAAGTGAAAAATAAAAATAAAGAGCTGAAGTGCACGCACCAAACAGCCATCTCTGTATGTTCCTGCCTCGTGTCACAGAAGTAAACAGTGACATCCAGGGAGCATTTTCTTCCAGTGAGCTCTGCAAAACATTGAAAGACTTGTAAGAAGACAAGAAATCTATGTTTGCATCAGCAGACTGATTTTGACAACTTTTTCTTTGACTGAAGCTAAACAAAAGCATTTAAATGGTAAAGGAATAAGAAGAAACTGAATATTGTTGAGCAATTTGAGGGTGTAGTTACTAAAATGTAACTTTGCCTTTCCAATTTGAAAAAGCACTGCAGATGTATGTCTGCAGATAGTGGAACAAGCATTGTATCATTTCTCAAATCAAAGGTTTTCTTTGTTATAACCACACGTTTTTGCTTCTGCCTGCAGCAGATACTCTTCACTAACACAGGAGTTTTTGTTGGTTTTACTTCAAGATTAAATCTGACAAAAAAGTTGGATGCCAAACCACAGGAAACCGCATCTGGAACCCCTTTGTCCCTACAGCTTCATGTTTTCCACCTAATATTTTGAAACTATTGCAAACTTGTTTCACACTTTACCAGAAATTATCAGATTTCAATTTATGGAGGTCAATAATGAGGTAGCTATGAGATGGGGGGGAGCGTGGGGGGCACGTGTGCAAGACTCTGGCACACAGCTCCCCGTGATGCCACCTCGGCCAGCTACAACTATGCAGGGTCTGACAGGACCACAGCAGGTGGGTACAAGTCCATCTGGTCTCCACCTTCATGGTGAGCCTGAACTTCTAAATACTCCTGGTGCATTACACAGCACAACGAACACACCTTGAAAACTAATTCTTGTTATAATTACTGTCAGTTAACACCGTGTCAGGAATATAAGGGGATAGCTACCATCCATGGTAATTCACCTCACTCCTTTTGCGATATGATAGAGCCTGTCTGCAGCACAGTGAGACATCTAGGCCAAGGACCTCAGGTTTTATGGCAGCCTCTTCTGTGTTTAAAAAACTGTTATGGATGTTTTCTGCTGTTCCTTTTCTATTACCTTTCTTTTTTTCTTTCTTTCTTTTGCAGGGACTGAAGAGGAAGATGAAGGCGACGACCTGCTGTTGAGATCTGTGGATGAGTTTTGGTGGTTTCCCCATATGTGGAGTCACATGCAGCCTCACCTCTTCCATAATGAGTCATCACTGGTGGAGCAAATGATCCTCAACAAAGAATTTGCAATAGTGAGTGAAAGTTACCAAAATGTTCACTAAGATACCTTTGTGTATTATAGCTGTGCTTTCCAAGGTGTTTTTATGTTTGTCTATATTGTACATATAGACATGTATATATTTTTACATAGATATGCAATTAAGGTGGCAAGATTGGAAACTCAGCCCCAAAAAAGCCTTTCTGTGATTCAAACTGGGGCTGAATATTGCCTTAGCCTTTTTCACTGGCATGGGCTTTCTGGAGAGGTAGCAGCCCTTCACCCAAGCAATCTTGCAAGACCACAGGAACCAGAAGCTGTGAAATATCAGCAGGTATCAGCTGGACTTTTAAGCTTTAGGAAAGGGTTTATACACAGGTTATCAGCTGCCTGAAGTTTGGTGCAAACATCATCAAATAAGGAAGGGAGTAAAATGGCGTGAACCCTAAATGTGTATGGTTTGAGAGAAATCTTAAAACTAATGAAGTAAATAAGAGAAGCTGCTGGATTTCACTGTGGTTTGGTTTTTTTTTTTTTTTCAGGTGATGTGCTTGAAAATATGTTTTTTTACATAGCCAGCCTATTGCTAATATTTACAGATAATGATGTTTCATTTTTGCTCATTTGTGTTGTTAACTTACAAGAGCTATCCTGCTAGCATCACCCAGAGCTCAGAGTACTTGTACTCTGAGGTCAGGTGGCAACCATTTAGAGTCCTTTCAGAGTAATTCTACTTGCTTATTGAGCATGACAAAGAAAACCTGAAATCTATAAATGCTTGCTTTGGAAAAGACACTGTGTGTTCTTTGACAAAGCATAGGAATGCCAAGCAACCAGAGCCACTGAAAAGAGCAGAGTGGCACAGTGGGGCTTTCTCTGCTGCTCTGGGAACACAAATCTCAGCCCTTTGCTGCTCAGAAAGGCCAGCCAGCAGCTGCCCCTTCCTCCTGTCCCTCACGTGAGCCAAGGCGCATCAGGAAACCAGCAGAGGCAGATGCCTGAACAAGCAGTTGGAAGCAATTTATTCCCTTGTTTACAAAACTGTTTTCCTAACAACCTTTAGAAAAAAAAAAAATTCATTAAAAATGGCTTAACTGTTTACTGTTCTTGCCAGACTTCCCCCCTTCCCATCTCCTGCTGGCAGGGTGTTAGTACAGAGGCATTTTGGGTGACTTCTTTTCCTTTCCACAGTTCTGCTTTCCTGTCAGCCTTCATTCCTGGCATGGCCTGTTCGTGCCTTGTGTGTAGCCTGGCCCAGAGACACAATTATAGTTGAGATTTTAAATGCAAGAATAATTTTTTTTAATAATCTCTATCTCAAAAATACATGGTCCATTCATCTTTAAACCTATGGGGAAATTCTCCTAGTATTTTCAGGAAACAGTAGGGCCTTTAGGTCAAACCACCTTTAGGAGTAAAATCTATAGCATAGCCTGAAAACAGGGCTTGTAATACAATCTGTTTGCGACTTCAACTACAGAAAGATAAAGCCCATGTCCCTACCATCACTGAAGGGTAGATACTCCTTAGGGTGCCTATAAACAAGGAGCTGATGTCAGTGAAAGGCTGCTGTTATTACAGTTTTATTTCCTGCTAACATTTGGACAGGGGTTGTACCAACCTCTTAACCTTGAATCTATATGAGCTGTACAATTTACTTATGAGAACATTTCTTTTCAAAAGGCTTCCTGTGAAATTCTCTCTGTGGGAGAAATTTATCTTCCTGTTATGACACAGCCTTCCTGATAGCTATCAGAGAGGTCCCAGCCATGACTTCAGAGCAGTTTTGTATCCTCCCCTGCTTTCTCATCCTCAGCATCATGTCTTATTTGGGAAAGGAACTCCCTGTTCTACAGCTGCACTGCTATAAGTCCTCCAAAGTTAAAGCAAACCCCTTTTCATTATTCTCTGGCTTCACAGTGTGCATCCAAATTTAAATTAGAAATCTATAACAATACATGGAAAAACTGCTTCATGTTAGACATGTTTTATTTATCTATATAAATAAAGATATAGGATATCTTTATATTATACTCAGGGGAACACAGCTTGTTGCTGATGACATTTTCTTTTGTATTTCCCATTTTAAGCTGCAAGTAGAGATGGTGCTTTGTGTCAGTTTCTGCAAGGAAAGCCACAAAAATTATTTGGAAGTATGATCACATTAATTCTTCACCTAATGTGGTATTTATTTGTTCATTTTTAAAAATATGGGTAAGAAGGTAACAGGGTCTTCAGGATAGGAGACCACATCCTTATACCCAAGAACAGTCAAGGTTGCTTTAAGAACCCAAGTATCGCAACAAAAATTCTGTTCCAAGACCTGTTGGCTCCTCCTGGCTTTATCATTTTAGAAGAAAGCTAAAACAGGTCACAGTGTCCAGAAACCTGCACCCAAATGCCATCACAGTCAGCAGTTTCTCCATGGAAGAGAGTATCGGGCTTGGGATTGACGTTGCTCACTGGGGAAAAAGGTTTAATGAAAGGAATGTCCTTCTCTTGAGTACTGTGGATTAAAGTCAAGCTTAATAAACACAAGGCAGTGCACCTGTAACAGTATTTCATGGATATTATCGCATGAAGCTAGGAAAGTACATAAACATAATTTTTATTGGCTCTTGCATTTACACTGTATGCATAATCTTTGGTTTGCAGGAGCTCAAGTACATGTACAGTCTGCTGAACACAGGCGAGAAATACAGGTGTTACAGCCTGCAACTAGATAAAAGACCTCATTCTGTTTTACACGGATATATCCATACCTCATAATGATGCTGTATAAAATGGGGGGCTTACAATTTCAGCCTGCCTCAAACAGCTGTATCACAAAATACATGTAGAAATTGGATATCTAAACAGTTTTGTATACATGCAACTAATTGGTAATTAGGTATCCAGTTGCCCTCAGTTCACTGCAGGTATGTATTCCTCTCTATCCAGGACTTAATAAAATCAACAGTCTTTAAAGGATTCCCTTACAGGCGAATTGCTTGTGAATCAGGGGACTGCCTTTAACAAAAGCCCTCCAAATGATTCTATCTTATGTGTCACTGACACATTTATCATTTCTACTGTTTCATGCCTAGTTGGTGAGAAGAAGAGACTTTCTCACATCTTTCATAAATGTTATTGCCCCACTGCTCTGGATCCGGCAGGCAGCGTGGGAAGTTCTGGCAAAATCCTTGTCCAGGCATGCCTGAGAGATGGGCCCCACAGCTGCCCCCATCCATAGCCCCAGCCCGCGGCCCTCGCTGCTATGTCTCTTCTCCATCACTCATGATATCCTCAGCCTCAGATGAACAAGAGAAAGAGATATTAACTCTGGTAAAGTAAGTTGCAAACTACCCAGAACTTCCCTATGTCATCTTATTTACGTAAATACGGATGATGTGCTTCAGAGCCTGGCTGAGGAAATGGCAAATGACCTTTATTTTGATTACCAGTCGGGTTTCACTTAATCATATTTTGTGGGTTTTTCCTATCAGAACATCCCCAAATCCTTTAAAGACACTAATGGATTGAGCCTTGGAATAAATTTTGCAAACTGATAATATCTCAAGTATTATTCCCCTTGTTTATAGGCAATGCAATTGATACACAGAGAGGTAAATAAATTGTGCAAGCAGAAGTCTCTGATAGTACTTATTCCAAAAATAAAACAAGCCAAATTTTCACTGCCATCCTTTAATCACAAGCTATCCTTCCTCCCCCCTTTTATACACCCTTATCTGACAAAAACAAGTAGGATATATTTAATCCAAAGCCTGTAGGTAGGCTCTTTATTTTGTCTCACAATTTGTTTGCTCAGAGATTATCTTCTGTGCTCATTTGTGAGCACATGTGCCAAAAGCACGGTAGAGATAGGGCAAAAATGATCGACTGTAAAAAGGTAGCTGTGATCTGATATAAAGAAGTGAGAGACAGACATATACAAAACAAACAAATCGACTCAGAGATACACATATACAGAACAAACAAATCAATCCAGAGCCTGTCTAGTAACACTCCTTGGCTTCAGTCTCCTGTTTATAATCCAACTACAGATGCACATTAGCACTTCCTCTGCCTACAACTTTTGAGCTGCCCAAACCACAAAGAAACCATGAGCTTTTAATACACCAATTAAATACCCATAAAATGAAGACCAGTGACCACATATCAAAGGTGAAGTATCTACTTCTTGTGAAAAGAGGGTCTAATTTGTCCCATTACTAGTTCATGTTGGGAAGGAGAGAAGCCCACTAGAGATTGCCTCTAAAAATGTTCCGTAAGTGGTCTGCATATAAAGGATAACATTGTCCTGTGCAGACAGGATGATTTAATCTATCTAAACTTAAGTTCCTTCCAAAAAAAGTCCACCTTCATTAGGGCTTTTGTCTGTATCAGAAGCATGCTTCAACAGCACATCTCTAAGACTGACTCTACCTTCTCAGCTTTATTTGGTATCGCACACATGCAGAGTCTATGCATTTCATTGTCATGCACAGCTTCCTCAGTGCTGGAGCACTTTTCTTCATTTCACATCCTCAGAAACCTAAGATCTTAAATCCCAGCATCTTCTCCACCTCTTGGTAGTCTGCTACAGTGCGAAGCATGCCTGGGACAGGAATCGTGGTGATATCTGGGAGGATACTACATTAGACTGGTGAAAAGCTGGCTTTTCCTGCGTCCCTGTCAATCCTGGATCTGACACCGACATCAGAAAAAAAAACCCTTGATTAAGACCCCTTGTACTCTCTGCTTGGCGCATTGTACAGCCACATGGCAAGGAAGCGTACCACGGACATGGAAAAGCAACGTCGAAAACAAATACCAATACACAGAGTCCCTGTATCTCAAAAACTATCAACTCTTGTTTGCTGAAGCATATGGTCTAGCTGGAGAGCTTTTAAACAGATTTTTAAAGTTTAGAATTGAACTAAAAGTGTCTGAAGGCTGAAATACTTAGTCCATAAAAATTAGCCAGAAATGTAATCCTTGAGAACAAAAATTGTGTGTCCATACAGGATAAAATACAACACAACATTTTTGTGAGTGCTGACAAGCAAGAAGGTAGTAAATTAATTTACCAAATAAGAGCAACCTTACAAAGTATTTCAAACTGACATAGTAACATATAATCTCTTATATGAAATCTCACCCATGTGCAGCAATATTAGAAATATATCCCAGTACTGAAAATATGTGAAGCTTTTATAAATATTTTAACTTTGGAAGGCAACATCTTAAAAAGCGCTACATTTATGATATCACCTACTGTTGGACAAAGGTTTAGCAAACTTATTTGCAGTTGTATTGTTAACATTTTCACCTGACAAAAGTCTTTATGTCAAAGGGAATCCTGCAGTTCAACTGACTGTGAAAAGACCTTCAGTAGACATAAGATTTGACAAATTAAAATAAAAGGTTGCCTTTTTATTCTTTCTCTCACAATGGCCAATACTAGATGTTTCTATAAAACAAATCATCAGTGATCTTTAAGAACCAGAATGCCAGTTGTGTTATAATAGTTTTAGGTTTTGTTTCATTTTATTTCATAGTGCATTTTAACAAGGACATGTAATATTTAGTGCAATCAAAAACTGTTGTTTTTTGTTTTTTTTTTTTTTTTCTGTTGGACAAGATCATACCAATATAAATGGTCAGTCTTCCAGATGCTGGTTTTTATTCAAACTTCCAACTTCTGCTCACAGGAAATCTGCTATAGGAATGCAGACTTACTTGTTGAGAATATACCTCCTTCTGGAAAGCAGTGTTCACCCCGCATTACCTGCCCTTTCTTTAGCAGAGGGGTTTGTTGCAAATGCAGAATAAGTGCACCCAGCACGTGCTCACTCATGGCAAACACAGCCCATTTCTGTACAAATAGGAATGTCAAAAGAGGTTATGAGTTTCAAGCAAATCGCCACTTGCTTGAAGGAAGATGATAATTGAGAGAGATAAGTAGCCTTGGCGGGTTGCTTTAGCCTTTCAGATCACCCGTAGAAGCGCCTGTCCTACACGTGAGCTCTGGGCGAGGGAACTTTGGCGGGTGCAAAGATGAGCCAGGCTGCACTGGCAGGACTAGGAGTTTCCAATTGCCATTGCTCTGGGTTGGGTGCTGCATCAGTGCAGGCATGAGACAGCGACGCCCCGACGCAAACCGGTGCATGAGAAGTAGCGACAACTCATGGAATTTCCTGCCAAAAATGCAACAGCTGTTTTAACTGTCTCCACCCCCTTCTCACATGTTATAACAGTGGTTCTCCTTTAATATTGAACTCATCCGCTGCTGCAGCTTCAGTTTATGCTGTCATCTGAATTAGAATTGCAAGTCTCTTAATGCACAAGTAAAAATAGGAATATAGATTTAACCTGTCCAAAATTCATGACTCTGGGATCCCACCTTAAGTGTGCAAAGGAAGATAATGCTTCTGTTCTCAGTGCCAAAAAGGGCCAAAAGTTTTCCAAACTAGACAAAAACATGCACAAAATTTTTGAAGAAATTTTGAAATTAAAAAAATCAATGGAAGTCTTGAATGTAAAAATGACCTAATAAAATTTGTAGGAAATTGTTCCTTACAATATGTAGGAAAATATAGTCATTACGGGCATGTCCCATTTTGCCCAATAGCTTGTATTTAAATGCATACTCCTCCTTTAACACATTAGTCCTCAATCCCAAACTAGATTTAATAACCAAATGAGAGGAAAAAGGGAAACAGAGCAACAAAAATCACCAGAAGAGGACATAAAATATTTAATTTACCCAAGTAACTGAATATGGAACTGACCAAAGAAAATCTGATTATTTGTCAGTTGTTTCTTCTTAAAATCATATTGGGTATCTGAGTGACTGACATGTATTTGTGTGATGAACTATGTAGTGTGCAGGTTTTATTCAGAGGCTAATTAGCTTTTTATATTGAGAACTTATGAAAAGCTGCCTTATTTTATTTGTGAATGGCAGATTACCATTTCACCATTCTGTTGCTATGGTAATACCAGCAGCAAAAAATAAGTAGATAAACAAGATTTTACATGTATTCATCCAGATACTTACTTTTGGACATACCATTCAGAGCAGTGTTCATTATCTAGCTCAGGACACATTTGCCTTACATTTACGTGTCTCTATACTCCCTAACACAGGTTTAGTGAAGCTTTGTAGACTCAAGTTAATATGGTATATTTAAGTTAGCACAGCGTATTTGACAGCGTGAGCATCATAGACTACTCAGGAAGAATAATAAATGGCCAGAATTTTCAGAAACCTTTAGATACAGCTTTTTCCTTTATCTATGTTTATGGCAAAAAAAAAAAAAATAGAGAAAAAAGTGATTTAACACTTCTCATTATAGAGCTATTCCTCAATTCATCCTTAAACTGACTCACACCTGTCAGCTAAGTAACAACATTAATAAGCAGAAGTTACATTTTGGTCTCAGTAAATTATGAAATAATGAGTTTGGCTTGCTTTTTTTTTTTTTTTCAAGACCAGCCAGTAACCTAGTATCTTTACTAATAAGAAATGGATAATTTTAAGTGGTCACATTTATGCGATATATAAACAAGTGTTCCCTACAGATTTAACTTACTTTTTGTCAATGAACTAAAAACCTTTCCTTGCAAAGTACTTAAATGTACCCATCAAAACCTGCTGTTCCTGGAATTAAAGTAATCAACAGTTCTCGGATAATGTGGGCAAGAGGAAGGAGAAAAAAAAAAAAACATGAAAAAATTATCATCTCACATTTTAGCCATTTCCCTCTGAACATCAATTTTATATGACCAGAAAACAGCTGATGTATCCTGTAGTACCGGGAGTAAAATGAATTCAGTAAACACCCGGAGCGTGGGAAGGGATCCATTGAGAGCCAGAGTGGCAGGACACCCTGAAACCTGGAGATGCTGTGGGAGGGTTGATAAGGGCTTTTTCTGGACCTGCTGGAAAAGAGCTTTGGCAGGAGAAGAGGCAGAGCACAGCCTTTCTTCCTGCCAGTCGCTGATGATAAACGCTGGATGCATTTCTGAATAGTCACTCAGACCAATGAAACTAATTACCTCATTTTCACATCTATAGCTTACACTTCCAATAATTTACTCTCTTTTAAATCTGTCCTGGTCTATAGATGTGGTTATCAGGCCTCATCATCAGATGGGGTTTTCAGACAGCCCACGCTAACTCAGGAGCAGGAGGGATGGGGAACAGAACGAAAGCAGGAGAGCAGCAAGGGGTGAAGGGAACATGCCCAGCACACTCACAGCTAAGCTTCTTCCTTAGTTCCTTCTGCCTGCACATTAACTACCTCACTGTGCCATTGGAAGACATTTTCAACATAACCTATAGATTATATTCACAAAAATGCACGTATTTCTTCATAGAAACTGGGCTGAATAAATATTTATGAAACGAAAAAGATGTCCGTCAAAGTCCAGCTTTTTTTTCTACTACCTTAATACCACGGAAAGTATAAGTAGATTCAGAAGCTATGGAGGATATTTATTTCTTTATTAAATCAGGAAGGAATCTTGCTCTTATTCCAGAAATAAGAAACAAAAAATCCCACATATGTCACTGCGACAATTTTTTCCATCTGTTTACTGCTCTAATGCTGTTTGATAGCTTAGTAAGTAAGCAGCATCAGCTTACCGGATTACCTTTAAAAAGAACCAAACAGGTAGGATGCATATTAAAATACACACCATACGTAATGATCATGCAGGCAAATCTATCCCATGTAACTGTAACGCAACATAATCCAAGAGGATTATTTATCAGTCTGCAGTTATCAAACCGTAATTCCAGTTCCCCTCATCTCTCCCCTGTTTTTAGCTTGTGCTACATACAAATAGACACAAGTCTGTCCAAGGACAACAGCTTCTCTAAAACTGCTGTTTGCAGGGAAAAAAAAAAAAAGCTTTGAATAATTACATGTTCTTTTTCTGTTCCTAAATATATTCCCCCCTCTGCTGGGTTGCAGGAGCACAGCATACCGACTGGCATGGGGTACGCAGTGGCTCCGCACCACTCCGGTGTCTACCCGGTTCACATCCAGCTGTACGAGGCCTGGAAGAAGGTCTGGCACATCCGAGTGACCAGCACAGAAGAATATCCACACCTGAAGCCTGCACGGTACAGACGGGGCTTCATCCACAATGGCATCATGGTACACTGCATTTCCATGCTTCATAGCAATAGTACTTTAAGTGATTCAAAAGTATGCTATTTTTACCAAATGCTTCAAGTTTTACAGCAATCATTAAAATTCTCTGTGATCGAGGATTTGTAAGGATGCCAAAATAGTGCATTTGTTATGCAGCCATTTTTTAAAAAAAAAAAAAAAAAAAAAAAAAGTCACACAAACTCAGGCAACTGCAAATGTAATCCTCAGCTACTAAATGTACTTGTAGTCCCATCAACTATCAACCGAGTCACACATGCATACTTTGAAAGTCATTAAACTGCCTAAGACCTATGTTTCAACCTCTGGTTCATTTTTATGCATGAAAGGATTAGAAATCCACCACCCGGGAAGGTGAGCAGGTATAAGTCATCTCCTCCAGCGAGCATGACATTTCCCCGAGGCCGAGGTTTTGTTCCAAGCTTTGCTTCTGAAACTCTCAGAGCCAGGGACTGGACATGTGCTCGACTCCTCCTGACCACGCGTTTGTGCAAGGAGAGAGAAAGTTCCTCATGTGCACACTTCCACTGCATGAAGGGCAGGAAAATGTATAAAATTATTTGGCCTGTCTTACCAGCTGGCTGCAACCCTATAGGTAGGTGAAACAAAAATTGAATATGCATAAATTAGAAATATTTCAAGGGCAGGTCCCAGCTTGTTTTAAAGTCCCAGCTGACTTGAATATTGCCTGTGCACATAAAGTCAAAATTGTGAACCCCTAAACAAGACAAAAGGAACATCTTAAAATCAAGAAGTTAATGCGCAGAGTCCAATTATTGCCAGAATAAACTCAAATTTAGCAGTGCACTTACACATGTATTAAAATGCTCTGCTGAATGTAGGTTTTATTTGTGGTTTCCACTGAGTAGAAAAGCAAAAACTGACTGGAGGGAAGCAAAAGGCCTTTTCCAGGTGAATTATGTCTCTGCATGGAATAGACAATACTCATAAGCTCTGACAGTTGTCATCTTTACTTTACCAGAGCCCTCTGATAGTACCTAGCTAATAATGTAACTAAACCATCTAGTTCTCCAGGACGAGTGTGTTTTCCCACACCTGCTAGCTGACTTGTTTCTGACACGCGACTTATTGATTTATGACGGGATGGGGAGCTGACCTCAGGCTGGTCTCACGCGAGCATCCCTCCAGCCCCGTACATGTTTCACAAACAGGAACGAGGGGCTCAGTGTGGTTTTCAGGACTGAGGAAAGTAAGAAGCAACAGGTCTTTTGTGGTGTGTAGCCTTGAATACAAATTCAGTTCAGTGTCTCAAGAACAGCAAGATTAATTACCTGAGATAGCGAAGACAGTCAGGAAGCACTATTTATCTGCTAATAAACAAACCTTGCTAGGGGAAGAGAGGTTTGGCTTTTTGTTTTCTTCCTTTTCCAAGTGCCAGGAAACAAACACTTATTATGAGTGTATGAGCTGCATAAAACGGTCTGCATGAAAGCTCAGCGCGTGTGTGTCGCAGCTTTTCAAAGCTGGCATCTGGAAATCTCCACATCTGCAGGACCACGCTTGTTTACCACAAGAGCACAGAAGGCACAAAGGAGCCCATAAATAAACACGCCAGAGCGCAGAGGCAGAAAGGGTTCCAGTTTTGTTTCTTTGAATTTCTGGAGGGAGTCGGGTGGCTGCGCCAGCGTAAGTTTGCAGAAAGAACTTAATGTCACAATGGCGCTGTTATTTTGTTTTCAGGTGCTCCCTCGACAGACCTGTGGCCTTTTCACTCACACTATTTTTTACAAGGAATATCCTGGGGGTCCTCAGGAGCTGGACAAAAGTATCCGAGGAGGCGAACTCTTCCTCACCATTCTCTTGAATCCCGTAGGTACCTTCTTTTGCTATTTTTCGGACACACTGACTAATGGGGAGGAGGGAGGGAGGAAGGGAAGGAGATCAGTTTTCCTCGATCTTGTTTGGGAAATAAAAATCAAGACCACTTGCTCAGAGGTAACAAGTAGTTTAAGATGAAAGGAGCAAAATGTCTTCTGCTAATTTCTAACTACATCTGTATGCAACAAGTTACCAAAAAATGCATTCGTTCCAGTTCCATACTGTTTCCCAGCCTGAAGCCCGGTCCCCATGAGAAAAGAGTGTATTGACTTGTCTACTTGAGACTGAAAGAAACCAGTGAGGGTAGACAAAACTGTGTGATCTTATTCCACTTCTCCATTTTTCCATAATCTCAGGTCCTCAAGCAATCCTGATATAGCTCGTTGGAAACCACAGGGCTCAGGCTTGATATCATTCCCGCACCACTGGCTCTTAAAAATAGGTTTTGTGCAGCTAAAAAATACTCCAAGCAGTATATATATCTTTCTAATGAACATTTTTGCTTTGCTCAGTGCTGCATTTCTTTTTCTCTATCAACATTACGTGAGCTATAAACTACATATATGTATGTGTGCGCATATAAAAAACCTACGTATGTATCAACACACATATAGATATGGTTTAATCAAAAGTGCCACAGACTTTAAGGATGATTTTCAGAGCTCTCACACAGTTTAGTCTCTCAGCTAATAAAGTGGTCTGAACTGCTCCGTGCTAATACACATATTCGCCCACACGTGACAACACGATGTAGGTGGATGCATAGGTGTGATTGGGCTTACCACAGATCAAGGATGAAAGCTACCTGACTGCCAATGCTATATTTTGAAGTCACAATTCTCTTGCCTGTGAACACCAGTCTGGTACCATTTAAGACAGCAGCCTAGAAGTGGAAGGAGGAAGGACAAGAACAAAATAAATCATATATCAATTATTTTTTTTTTTTGCCATTGTCCTCCCTTCTCTCTATTCCACCCAAACAAGTTATGCTACTCACAAGATAAATGTCTTGTGTCTTGCCAGGTGGCCTAATTTTCAGTGATTTCAAACTGCAGCACTCATTGACTTCTCTGCAGAGTTACAGAAACTTCATGTGGAGCTAACTCTCAAATCCAGGTCACTTTTATTTAGAGACCTAAATATAGATTTCGATATTATATAATTAGGTGAAAATTTTGGCTGAGGAGCTAAGTTGGCATTTGAGTCAAAGATTCAGTGGGCTTAAATAAATGGGACATTTCTATTAGGAATTTTTCTGTACCATACAGGTGACACCTAATTTGAGAATAAAAAATATCCCTGTTCTTTTCCTGTCTCTCTATTACCTGCAGCTCACTCAACCTGGCTTTTCTTCCCATAGTTTCCTTAAGTATAACTTGGCTCATCACCGTCTTGGGATGCTACTGAAATTTATCCTTAGTTTTATCATACTTTGATCAATACCTGTGCATCTTTCACTTATCTGAGGATTTAATCAGATTTAGGCAGTGCCCCAATTCCTCAGTCTAGCACCATGTCCAAGCCTGTGAGTATGCTCAGGCCACCCCAACTTCTCCCCTACAACTTGCCTTTTCCTTAATTTCAGATTTTTCTTGCTTACTGTCAGCAAGTAAGAAAGAAGGCGCAAGCTCATAGTTGCTTATTAGAAATTTCAGCCTTTGGATCTTTTAAACAATTACATCCAAATGTCCTTTCCAAAGACAGGCTGAGGCTATGGGGAAGGGTAGCTCTTCAATTAGTTTAAAAATTATTTTAAAGGTTATTATTGAACTCCAAATGGAATCAGATAATCCTATGTAATATTGGGTGGTATTTGAAAAGCACAGATTTTCTATGCTGTTAATGTTTGATTTCCCCCTCCCACTTCTATGATTTTCTATCTTTACCTCATCAAAACTGATATTTTACTGAGCTATGCCACACAAGTGGAATACTGACATGCACCTCCCTAACTCTGAGTTAAGTATGAATCTGTTCCAATATAAAAGCTTATTCAGACAGGAAGAAATATAATTTAACCATGTGTGAGCTGAAGTAAGATATACCACAAAACCCCATCATTCAAGTCAGGTTGGTACACTGCCCTATGAAATACGCACTGACTGACAACAGGAAAAGCAAAATCCTGGATTGTGTCAGAAGGAAACTGGTGTGAGTAGGAAATAAAATCATCTATATCCATACAGCCTTTTTCATTTTTTAAATACCAAGTTTGGACACCACACAAATGAACAAATGGGAAGACCTTTCTTTTATTCAGTGTAAGAGAAGGTGTAGTGTTTTGGTGGTTAATTTGAAAATGTTTGCAGGTTAGTATTTGAAATCTATGGTAACTTCTGAAAAGTATCGATAGAGTGCCTATTTCACTGGCCATTCACAAATTCAGTTGAATAAAAAAGTATGTTTTGGATGTGGTATGTTCTCCAATCTGGCAGCAGTGTGTACTGGAATAGCAACAAGAGACTTCCCATCTCACATCCTAGAAGTTTTTCCACACACTTCCACTCGTTAATAAGCTTCCTTAGTATTTAGATATCAACCTGTGCAGTTCAGGGCTTTTCCAAGAGCAGAGTTCAGGGGTTTACTATGAGCAGTACCGCGTAAACCAGAGCATGCTCTCCAAATGGATTATGGAAAAGAACAACTGTTGGGAATGTAAAGGCTTTTTCAAAACCATAATTTAAAATTGTGTTGTTGTTGAGTCATATTGAATGAGATACCTAATGTAGTAGTTGGGTAGAAACCATATCCATAAAATAAAACCCTAACCAGAATGCACTGTGTCCCCTAGCATGGAGGCTGCTTTACACATCGTTGCAGTTATCCTACTTCAATTCTTGAAGGGAAAGGGTTTGCCTCTACCATTGTTTATTTTTGCATTATTGACATGGTTTAAAAACATTTTTCATCTACTCTTTAAAAACACCAGCCAGAATCTAGCCTGGAGGAGATTTGCAGAAAGAGTGTGGCTCCTATTAATTCTACTTTCACGTGGTTGCACAAGTCTCCTGCTCACCAGGCTCTCGTGTGCGCAATTGCCACCGGCATTAGTGTGAGCTATGTGCATACTGCAAGGGGGATGAGGAACCCCTCCACATGCCCTGTGCTCTCTTCTGGAGGGTGAAAATGGAATAAAACTGTTTCGGCTTGCAGAAAGAGAACATATGCATGTGTGCTCTCACAACAGTCAGGCTACCATGACAACTGAAGTTACATACAGATTATGTGTGTTATTAACATAAAAGATCATATTCCAGACTCCAAGATTGGGTTAGAAATCTCCGTACACAGTTAGTTATCTGGGGTGTGCAGTGTCATTCACTACTCCTGCCTGGTTCAAAAAGCACAGGGGCAACAATGACAACACCACCAAAAAAATAGCTCACTTTACACAGCATTTTCTACAACTACAGCAGACTATAATTTTATCATTTTATGAGGTGTCTTCTTTACCATCAAGTAGTCTAGAAGTTAGAAGAGGGTTTCTGAGCAAGTTTGTTTGTGGTCATTGCCTGTCTGTCATTTCTGTGGGTTTTTTTTTTGTTCCCTTCACCAGTTTTTACATTGGTATGTTGCTGTAGATGAGCCTAACAACAGTTGGGCAACAAATCCAAGTTAGATGTGATATATAACATTTTGGCTTTAGACACATTCCCTATAAAAACAAACCAACTCATAAATAATTCCTAATACACTTTTTAAACCAAAAATTAAGTGACCTGTACAGTTCAACGGCGTCTTCCCAAAGCAGCTACTGTAAGGGCTGATCTCCCACACATTTCACAAGTGTCTTTTTGCTCCTGGCTGCTCTTTTGGAGGCAGCTACCTGGTTTCCTCCATATCAAAAGCCTGCACATTGATTTTGAGGATGGTTTACTTTAGGGACTGTTCCCAAAAGCCAGTCCAGACAAGGCTTTGGCTCTCTGCAGACCTCCAACACCATTCCTTTCAGCCTTTCAATCCTCACATTTTCCCACTGATTTACTTTATGTTAAAAACATCCCTCTAAAGCAACAACATAGTTCTCACAGTATTTCAGACACTTAAAAAACAGACGTACAAAATAATTGTTATATTTTTGAGCCATATGTGCAGAAACACTATGTGGTGGGAGCAATGTAGGCATAAGCTTACTCCATGAGTGGATACAGAGGAGCAGCACACTCCACAACTCTTACCCCCACCTACACACAAGGCATCGCTGCTGTAAGGCATCTCCTCTTATGCCGAATGGAAATGACTGAAGCTGTTGGGGCACTAAAACCAAAAAGCTTTCACTTTCAGTTTGCCTTATTGGAGGGACATGTAGGTGAATCTATTGCTAATTAAGAAGTAGACTAACAACACCAGCTAAAAAGGTGCAAAGAGGTGCTTCACAGTTTGGCCCCTCTTCCCCTTCACCATCCATCACCATCTTCCTTGCTTCATCTTACCAGTCCAACAGTTGCCCCTTTACACCAACCAGTACCATATCTATTCACTAGTTAGGGAGGACAAGAGTACAGCTGAGAATAGTTCATTTCATGTCCACAGTTATTTTGAGTCATAGCTCCAGAAGTGAAAAGCCATACTTTATTCGCAGGTAAAAAGAAGTATTCCAGGTTTCCTCCCCACACACTTCAAGACAGTCTTTTTCAGACTGTTTCAAATTTTAGAAATAATCATGGTGCCTTGATTAAAATCAGCACAACATCATATTTTGCTCTGAATTACAGCTATTTAGCTGTCTAAAAACAAACTAAAAGTCAGCTATTTCTGGCCTTCTAGCTTGAGATGTCAGGGGCAAAGAAACAGAAACCTGAAAGGCTGTGAATAAGCAGTGACACAAGCTGTTCTGAAGAGACGCAGATGCACAAGAAGTGGATGAACAAACTTTAGCATGAATAGCAGCCCAAGCACAACGGAACCAAAGTCTACATCGGTGCCAGATTCCAGGAGGACTTCTGCCTGCTTTTCAACCCTGTAACCACCGACCTAACACTTGCTCTTCA